ATGAATGCCTTTATGATGCATTAGACATAAAGGCTTCAAGTAAAGTGTTTCAGGCGGATGAAATATGAACAAACCAAATAAAAATAAAAATATAATAATATACAAATAAAAATATGTAGATATGAATAAAACTGACTCAAACTCGCCACTTTTAAAGATAAAGTGCAATAAAATAAACTCTTAAAAGTGCATCTGCAATGATTAATAGACATGTGAGGATTTTTAAAGATAAAATAGTAAACTGTATTTTAAACTAACATTTCTTTTCTGAACGAACCTCATCCAGTGTGAATCGTGCTAGTGCCCTTAACAGTGAGCAACCCTACGATGAAGCATCACACGCCGCAGTAAACACAGATCTGGCATATATGCAACGAGAACACTTCAGAAACTGAGACTTCTTATATGCTTTGACTCCAGATTAAGAAAATCTTTCATAAGGACGTGAAAGCATGAATTATTACACACCCGAGGATGAAGTTGGGAAGAAGACGAGCCCGACGGGAATCTTCCTGCATCCGATCCGTTGTGTTTCGCTCTTACATAATAATCCCTGGCTGAAGACCCACAACCCTCACACACACACACACACACACACACACTCCTTCTGCTGGGTAATAACTACACAAACCAGACGCTTTCACAGTCACCAGCAGAAGAACACCGAGATCACACAGATCATATAATAACCGGAGCACACTAACCAGCAGAGACGCCTATCTAGTGCACGTCAGCCAGCAGTTGATGCTAATACAGCCCTCGACTCCTGGAGCAAGTTTACAAGACAATACTGCAGCCTTTCTTAGATTTATAATTGTTTGAGAAATTTACTAGCAATTTTGGAGTGAAATAAATTTCCCCCGCAGTGTATGTTCATAAGCTCATGTTTCCGTCAGTCAGGCATATGATGGTTTCAAATGTTCATATCACCATCAGATTTTTCACGGTATTGAATCCACACAAATGTTTCAGACATATAGGCCTTGTGTAGCCCCACCCCTTTTCAGACATATAGGCCTTGTGTAGCCCCGCCCCTTTTCAGACATATAGGCCTTGTGTAGCCCCGCCCCTTTTCAGACATATAGGCCTTGTGTAGCCCCACCCCTTTTCAGACATATAGGCCTTGTGTAGCCCGCCCCTTTTCAGACATATAGGCCTTGTGTAGCCCCGCCCCTTTTCAGACATATAGGCCTTGTGTAACCCACCCCTTTTCAGACATATAGGCCTTGTGTAGCCCCGCCCCTTTTCAGACATATAGGCCTTGTGTAACCCCACCCCTTTTCAGACATATAGGCCTTGTGTAACCCCACCCCTTTTCAGACATATAGGCCTTGTGTAGCCCCACCCCTTTTCAGACATATAGGCCTTGTGTAGCCCCGCCCCTTTTCAGACATATAGGCCTTGTGTAACCCCGCCCCTTTTCAGACATATAGGCCTTGTGTAACCCCACCCCTTTTCAGACATATAGGCCTTGTGTAGCCCCGCCCCTTTTCAGACATATAGGCCTTGTGTAACCCCGCCCCTTTTCAGACATATAGGCCTTGTGTAGCCCGCCCCTTTTCAGACATATAGGCCTTGTGTAACCCCACCCCTTTTCAGACATATAGGCCTTGTGTAGCCCCGCCCCTTTTCAGACATATAGGCCTTGTGTAGCCCCGCCCCTTTTCAGACATATAGACCTTGTGTAGCCCCGCCCCTTTTCAGACATATAGGCCTTGTGTAGCCCCGCCCCTTTTCAGACATATAGGCCTTGTGTAACCCCACCCCTTTTCAGACATATAGGCCTTGTGTAGCCCCGCCCCTTTTCAGACATATAGGCCTTGTGTAGCCCCACCCCTTTTCAGACATATAGGCCTTGTGTAGCCCCGCCCCTTTTCAGACATATAGGCCTTGTGTAGCCCCGCCCCTTTTCAGACATATAGGCCTTGTGTAGCCCCGCCCCTTTTCAGACATATAGGCCTTGTGTAGCCCCACCCCTTTTCAGACATATAGGCCTTGTGTAGCCCCACCCCTTTTCAGACATATAGGCCTTGTGTAGCCCGCCCCTTTTTAGACATATAGGCCTTGTGTAGCCCCACCCCTTTTCAGACATATAGGCCTTGTGTAGCCCCGCCCCTTTTCAGACATATAGGCCTTGTGTAGCCCCGCCCCTTTTCAGACATATAGGCCTTGTGTAACCCCACCCCTTTTCAGACATATAGGCCTTGTGTAGCCCGCCCCTTTTCAGACATATAGGCCTTGTGTAGCCCCACCCCTTTTCAGACATATAGGCCTTGTGTAGCCCGCCCCTTTTTAGACATATAGGCCTTGTGTAGCCCCGCCCCTTTTCAGACATATAGGCCTTGTGTAGCCCCGCCCCTTTTCAGACATATAGGCCTTGTGTAGCCCCGCCCCTTTTCAGACATATAGGCCTTGTGTAACCCCACCCTTTTCAGACATATAGGCCTTGTGTAGCCCCGCCCCTTTTCAGACATATAGGCCTTGTGTAGCCCCACCCCTTTTCAGACATATAGGCCTTGTGTAGCCCCGCCCCTTTTTAGACATATAGGCCTTGTGTAGCCCCGCCCCTTTTCAGACATATAGGCCTTGTGTAGCCCCGCCCCTTTTCAGACATATAGGCCTTGTGTAGCCCCACCCCTTTTCAGACATATAGGCCTTGTGTAGCCCCACCCCTTTTCAGACATATAGGCCTTGTGTAGCCCGCCCCTTTTTAGACATATAGGCCTTGTGTAGCCCCACCCCTTTTCAGACATATAGGCCTTGTGTAGCCCGCCCCTTTTCAGACATATAGGCCTTGTGTAGCCCCACCCCTTTTCAGACATATAGGCCTTGTGTAGCCCGCCCCTTTTTAGACATATAGGCCTTGTGTAGCCCCACCCCTTTTCAGACATATAGGCCTTGTGTAGCCCGCCCCTTTTCAGACATATAGGCCTTGTGTAGCCCCACCCCTTATATTAGGCATTATATTAGGCATTTTCCAAACTATCGGTATCGGCAGTTATAATGGCCGATAAATCAAAATTTCAAAAGTAAAATAAAAACGGACGAAACACGCTTGAACCATGTCACGAGTGTTGGAGTTGTATAGTTTGTCCACCAGAGGGCGCTCTACATCCTGTTGGCAACACTCGTTGAGTTGGTCACGAGACATTCATTGCTTGAATAATTAAACGAACATCTGCATCAGTTCTCTAAACTCAAATAAGCAGGACAACATTTGTGACTATCATGTCCAGTTTTGCTGTTAAATAAGCCGAGAGTGTTTAGCTAGTAATAGTTACGTTACGTTGTTACAGTGTCGTTGACTGACTGTCCTTTTGACGATGTGACTGAAGTATTTCTTTAATAGCGCGTGACAGTTTTAGCAATGAGACGCATCATCTCTCCTCGGCCTGTTATATTGAAAATGTATGTTCGCAGTATGACGTCATCCATTGCTAAATTATGGCTCATCATAGACTAGCTAACCATAAAGCTAGCTAATGCTACTATCATCAGTCTGTTCTGTTGCGACAATAAAAGAAACAAGTTTCTTTTTAAAACACATTATCATATTATTTTAGTTAAAACTCATAAATAACTACAAATAACTAATGTTAGGGAAATCTGTTAATGTTTTGTTGCGCGTTTCTGAAATAATAAAAAATAAATAAATATCGGCCGATATATCGGATTTTAAAACCAACAAATATTTGTATCGGTATCGGCCTTCAAAATCCTTAATCGGTCTCGCTCTAGTCCTCATGATGACTTTCGTTAACTCAACATTATGTAAATCCACTTGGCCAGGACAGCGATGCCATAGAGATATACAGAGCGAACACAATATTCTAAAGATGCTGCGCTCGTTTCTCTAAGGTCTATAATTGTGAAAATGAACGATAACAAAGAATCATGTTTTTGTCCAAATTCAAACGGCAAGAGCTGATGTTCCTCCTCAGTATTGTTGTCTTGTATCTCACAATGGAGTCGGAAAAATCATCTTGTTATTATTTTGAATTAAGATGATCTTTCTGACTCCGCTGGCAGATATTTGTTTTTGTTTTAAACACAAACTCACTTCATTTTCAACTCTTAATATCTTCAGTCACTGTTCTTCTCCAGTCTGAAGGTTCAGATATTAGTGCTGGAGAACGAGACAGAAACACTAAAGAGAAACAGCATATGAGCAGTGTACACAGTGTATACATATACGCAACTAAAAAAATCGAAATGATTTGCAATAATAAAGTAGTTATGGTATTTTGCATGTTCAGTAATATATCAGCATATTCTTTCCATCAAAACTCAAAAAGCCAAAGCGCATGCAGTTCTCCTTCATCCTCAGATCTGATCATAAAGCTCAGGATTAGTGTGTGTTCGTCACTTCAGAAGACAGACGCATGTTTCATCATGCTAATGTTTCACAAGCTTCACTCAAGCTGCGGTCTCTCGCATACACAAGTCTGCTAAGCGTGTGTGTGTGTGTGTGTGTGTGCAGTGCGGCGAGGACAGAATCAGTATTCGGGAACGTCTCACTGAAGCGTTGAACATCTGCACTGAGAGAAACACTGAATGTACAACACCAGGAGCTCTCGCACCCGAGGAACCTGTTCAGTCAAAACTACACAAACACTGACCCACGAGCTGGGTAACACCATAACTACCCTAATACTAATAATAATAATAATAATAACAGCTAACTTTGCTTTTGTTCCCGACCAAATGCGACCAAAATGGTTATGAAAATGCAGTCATTATGAAAGGTTTCTTCAATGTACTGCTTGTTTTTTTCTGTTCAGATCTACAGACGTTTCTGTTAAATGTTGAACTGAGTCATGGAAGGTCAGAAGCAAGTACACTGAGATGAAATGCCGACTAATGTAACTTTACATCTCTGCTTATTTGAGAAAGTAACTTTTTTTGTAAGTTGAAAAAGTAATGCGTTACTAGTTACTTGATAAAGTAATCTGATTACGTCACTCAAATGAGCTCAGCCGGAGTTCAGCCGCGATACTCACTTGCTGTAGCAGTCTCGGGCCTCTCTAGCGGACGCCATCTCCCAGCCATTGGGCCCCTGAAGCCCCTGAGCGGCCCAGCTGCCGGGACCCGACGCACAGCTCGAGGCTTTGGTCCTGGGGCTGCAAACACAAGAGCAACGGTCAGACACGGGTCAGGGTCAAGGGTCAGTCAGAGACGGGTCAGGGTCAAGGGTCAGTCAGAGATGGGTCAGGGTCATGGGTCAGTCAGGGTCAGGGTCACAGGTCAGTCAGAGACAGGTCAGGGTCACAGGTCAGTCAGAGACGGGTCAGGGTCAAGGTCAAGGGTCAGTCAGAGACCGTGATGTCATCATCCAGCTCAGCTCAGTTCTTATATAATGCTGTCAATGCAGCAGATCAATAATATTGTAGCATATTAAATGCAATGTCCCCAGTTTAAGCAATACAGACGGCTTTAAAGCAGCATCGCACAAATGAGCATGAAAATAACAGTCAAATGTTGAAAAGTTCAATTACAAAACTACTTCTACTTCTGCCGCTTTTACACCTGCAAGTGAAGTGATTTCATTATTGACACTGTTATTGAACTGAATCAACACTGAACTGAATCAACACTGAACTGAACTGAATCAACACTGAACTGAATGAACACTGAACTGAATCAACACTGAACTGAACTGAAACAACACTAAACTGAACTGAATCAACACTGAACTGAACTGAATCAACACTGAACTGAATCAACACTGAACTGAACTGAATCAACACTGAACTGAACTGAATCAACACTGAACTGAACTGAATCAACACTGAACTGAACTGAATCAACACTGAACTGAACTGAATCAACACTGAACTGAATAAACACTGAACTGAAACAACACTGAACTGAACTGAATCAACACTGAACTGAAACAACATTAAACTGAACTGAATCAACACTGAACTGAACTGAATCAACACTGAACTGAACTGAATCAACACTGAACTGAATGAACACTAAACTGAACTGAATCAACACTGAACTGAACTGAATCAACACTGAACTGAATGAACACTAAACTGAACTGAATCAACACTGAACTGAATCAACACTGAACTGAATGAACACTAAACTGAACTGAATCAACACTGAACTGAAACAACATTAAACTGAACTGAATCAACACTGAACTGAACTGAATCAACACTGAACTGAATGAACACTAAACTGAACTGAATCAACACTGAACTGAACTGAATCAACACTGAACTGAATCAACACTAAACTGAACTGAATCAACACTGAACTGAATCAACACTGAACTGAATGAACACTAAACTGAACTGAATCAACACTGAACTGAACTGAATCAACACTAAACTGAATCAACACTAAACTGAATTGAATCAACACTGAACTGAATTAACACTGAACTGAACTGAATCAACACTGAACTGAATCAACACTGAACTGAATCAACACTGAACTGAAACAACACTAAACTAAACTGAATCAACACTGAACTGAACTGAACAATCACTGAACTGAATCAACACTGAACTGAAACAACACTGAACTCAATCAAGTTTGAACTAAATTGAGCTGAATAATGACAGCATCGTCTAAGAGCTGATTTACAGATGAAAATCTTTATTCGATTTAATTTAGAAATATAAATGTTGCAAAGTTCATCAATTTCATTCAAAATTCAATTCAACTGAAGAATTCAGCTCTCATGATACAGCTTCATTTTTGAGAATGGCATTTTACACATTTGTAACTTCACACTCAGAATGTGTGTGTGTGTGTGTGTGTGAATCTCAACATTCAACTCCACATTTTATTATACAGGTTTTCACGTCGGAGTTGTGAGTAGTGTACAAGTACACATATTCACATGATCAACACGCTCTGGAGTTTTCTCCTCTTTTACCTTCATCTGCTTCTATTATTGTTGAATATGAGATATATAACAGCATGTGTGTGTGTGTAGATCTGAGCCGTCATCTACTCCTGCCGATAACAGCCTGGACTTCACTCGTGCCAGTGATTTAATTATATTTATTATGTAATGCCATCATGCAAGCCTGAAGATCGCCACGCTCCAGTCGAGTCTCTAAACGCCGTGAAATCTTCCTTAAGCCCAACATTCCCCGGAAAGCCCGAGATCCAGCGGCGTTTGATCAGAGTCGTGTTTGTGCACAGATTACTGGACGCGCATGTGTGTGTGTGACTCACTGTGTTATTGTGAATGTGAAGCTCCAGGGCTTCATTTAAAGTGCAGCACAGATATAGTTCGAGAATCCGAACACCCACCAAACCAGCCGGAGATCCAGAGAACATCCTCACAATAAAAGAGTCGTGTTTAAAGCCTTTCAAACATGATCATTCTCAATAGGGCTGGAACTATATTAAATACACACACACACACACACTCACTAACCCGACCCTAAACCTGTCCATCACACACACACACACACAGTAAAACTGAAATATTACTCCAGTGTAAATCATCTGTTTGATTTTTTGCATGATATAAACAGCAATTACAGAAAATAGAGGTATTCAAGATAAAAAAATTTGCATTTACATTGAAAAAAAATGTAATTATGTAGAATTCCGAACAAAATAAGATGAAATTGTGAGAAGTAAACTTGTAATTCCCAAGAAAAACAGTCAGAATTGTAAGAAGTGAACTTAAGTTAAATGGCTTCAAGTAAACTATATTCCAAGAAAAACAGATGTAAATTTAGAATTCCAGTCAAGTATATTTCTACTGTCTACATTATCCCACAAGATCAAATTATCAGGATAAAATTCCAGGAAAGCAGAATTGTGAGAAGAGAACTTCAAAATAAGAAAGTCACATATAAACTCATCGTGTATGTGCCTCGCAGACGGTGTTTAATACTCACAGGAGGAGGTGTGTGAGGCATAACACACTCGAATATTACAACACCATGGCGTCTATGATGGAGAACACTAAACAGTGATCAGACCCCTCAGATTGGTTGACTCCCAGTGTTCAGCACAGCTCTCCGTCCGGACTCGACCGGGAGAAACCCAACCGGGCGCAGAAACACAAGCCGTGGAGCATTAATAAATCATCTGCTGCACACTAGTGAGGGAGCGCACAAGCCATCGAGTGCACTAAGAGTCAGTGTTTTTCAGCCCTGGATTATTCATGTTTAAAGCTCTGTGTGTGTGTGTGTGTGTGTGTGTGTGTGTGTGTGTGTGTGTGTGTGTGTGTGTGTGTGTGTGTGTGTGTGCGTGCGTGCGTGCGTGCGTGCGTGCGTGCGTGCGTGCGTGCGTGTGTGTGTGTGCGGCTCAAGGGTTGGGTCAGCAAGACTTTTATTTTGAGATTCTGGAGTAATATTTCACTGTTTTACTGTATTCTATCATGTGGGAAATAAAAAGATTACACGAAAAGATCATTTAATTGACTTAATCCAAAAAAGTTTATATGAAAGTGTTGTTATTGTAATCTAAAACTATCGATTTTTGGTGATGAAAATAAGACTGAAATAAAATAAAAATTAAATTAAAAAATAAACTTCCTGTAGAAATGATGCATTGGCCATTTTTATTTTATTATTTTATTTATAAGTTTAAGTTTAAAATTACTAAAAAATAAAATGAACAAAGCTAAAATATTAAAAAGCACCTAACAAAATGACTAAAATGCATTCGTAAATGTACAAATATGAATAAATACTATAATAAACTTAAATGAATTAGTTTGTGATTATGCAGTAGAAATGCTGCCTTAGCAATTTTATTTTATTACTTTATTTATAAGTTTAAATTCTAAAATGACTAAAATTAAATTGAACTAAATATAAAAAATTACAGCTAAAATATTAAAAAGCACATTAAAAATGATTATTTTACATTGATTACACTCTTGAAATGGTTCTATTTAGAACAAGAAATGGTTCCATCCCCCGCTTCATATATGGAACTACAAAATGGTTCTATATAGAACCATTTTTTTTTGGTAAAGCGTTCTATTGACCAAGTATGGAACCCCAGGGTTCTATATAGAACCCAGAGGAACCCTTCTTTCAAGAGTGTATAGAACCTTTTAGGGGTTCCAAATACGTAGCGCTGATAGAACCTTTTAAGGTTCTATATAGAACCTTTTCTTCTAAGAGTGTATATTATTAAATGTAAAAATCTATTAATAAATTCTATAGTAGTAAATCATGACACTGGTATGAATATATATATTGATCTTAATAGTCACTATGATATTTAATTTCTGTCCATCGCTATTTCCTACTAGCGGACGTTCCTGAGAACTCAATCCAACGTTTTCTTAAAGCTTGACGTGTCATAATGACAGAAGGAAAGTAATTAATTTTCTAAGCACTGAAATGATTGAAATGCAAATGAAGCTGTTAAACTGAATCCGTTGCCATGGCAGCGGAGTGAGACTGTGAGAGGGCGAATGACAATCAAACTAATATCTCCTGCTAATTAGTATCCGGACAGTGAGTGCGAATCCCAGGAAAACTGAAGGAAACTAAAGCTTTAAAAACTACTGATGAAACTTCATAAACATTAATGATCAAACTTCAGAAACCACTTACTGTGTGTTAATGCTAACCCATGAAGCTAAGTGCTAACTTAGGCTTGATCATTAATCTGCTATGTCATGTTTATGACACGTTGTGTTGTCTTAGTAGTGTCAAGCTGTCATAACAAAGACTCTCACAGGTTGTGATGAATGGTTTATGTCAAGGTGTCATAAAGACATCTCAAACGATGTCATATTTGCATTCAAAATGTCATAATTGAGCGAATGACACTTTATGTTGTCATAAACATCATAAAACCTCCTTCATATTCATGACTTATGCACACAAGTGTTACCAACACTTTCATTAAATACGACTACTAAAAATACAGGCCCTCATTGACATAGCCAAATCTAGAATTTCACTACACAAATTAATACATAAAAACGGACTCTCTGAATCATTTTGAATTTGAATGAATGATTCATTTATGCGAATCGATTCAATGAATCGCTTAAATGAATCAAACACATCAAAATGTTAATATTAATTATATATTACATAACATAATAATATTATGTAATTATGTGGGTTTCAGGCGCTGATAAAAAGTCCCTCAGTAAATGACAAATCTCCCT